GATCAATTAGTTACGTAGTTATAGCCGTCATTTACACTAAATGTACTGGGACATCCGGGCTAATTTTTCGAAAAATACCTTTGGTATTCCGAGTACTTACCAGGTCTAAGATTACAATACTTTTCTTCATTGGCAACCTACTTTAAAACGTGTTTAAAGTTATTTATGCAAGCGAGAAATTCAATAAAATCGTACGGGTGGTGGTGGTGGGGGAAGCAGAGAGCGCGGCCGCTTCGGCCTGCTCGAAATTGAATCGGCTATAACTACGTAACTAATTGATCAATCGTTCCTTTTTTTTTTTTTAAAGAAGCGTCTTTCCAAGAACTTTTAAAACCTGCTTTAAAAAATTTGATTTGATTGAATATTCACAAAGTTCTAATTGTTTATAAGTACAAAAATTCGACCAATGTTTAAACAAGCGCCAGAGCTCTCCTAATTGACGGATTCGAATTTTTCAAAAAAAGTTTGAAAGCTTGAGAGCCCTTCTATATGTGATTAAATTTTCAAGTATCTAAGGGCCTTGGTTTTTGCTGTGCAAAATTTTGAAAATTTGCAAATTTTTTTTCAAAATCTGGATTGCAAAATTATTATGCAAAATCTATCGAACCGATTTTGATGAAATTTGGTGTGATAATTCTGCATAACATGAAGTTTTTTTGAGCCAAGTATAAAGGTCCTATATCCAATTTAAATACCCCAAAAAAATTCCCTAAAAAGTAGTTTTTTAACCTCATTTTTGCGATTTTTTCGATTTTTACCATCATAATCGTGATTCATTCGATTTGTAACTATGTAGTCATGTTTTGTAAAAAATTTTTTTTCTCTTCCGTTTTCGCCTAAAATCAACTCTTGAAGAGATACATAATTAAATAGGAAGAAAAATATTAAATTTTTCGAATTTTTTTAACATATTGTGCCGCCAAAAGTTAAGCCCACGTTTTTTTTTATGCGCATAGAAAAATTTTCATTTCAAGTGATATTTGAAAGCCAAAAAGCCAAAAATCTCCGTGGATATACGATTCACCCAAATATGGCTTTTTGAAACAGATAGCGTCTGGACTAATGAACAATAAGACAGTCATTCGTTCAAGCATGACAGAACCTGCCCTAGCCGTTAGGGGACATTTAGAGTTTCAAATTTTGAATTATGGAACTTGATCCTTTTAACTGGAAACCCCGTTGTTACATATGACACAGTAAAAAAATATATGCTACATAATGGCATGTTCCTAGTCCAAAATATTAAGTATGTAAACATTTGTAAAAAAATGTAAACATTTTCTACATAAATGGGTAGGATAAAGACCCTTAACTAGCTAGATCTCCCAATCTAACAAAGTCTTACTTTTTCTTATGGGGTTATACATATAAAAAAACTTTGCCCCTCACTATAATTAGATTTGTAAATCGAGGACAAACTATCAGGGACATTATGCCTGAAATGTTTGTGAGGATTTTAAAAGACGTGTTTGATTACGAGCTCAGCAAAAATGTCATTCATTCATAGCAATAACTGTAAATTAGTTTATTGACTAATTAATTCTCCACTCCATTTTGATTTTGAAAATTTTGTTGTTACATATGCAACATATATTTGGAATATATATAAAATAACATTTTAATAAAATTATTAGGAGTAAACTACCATATAAGCAGTTTCCCTAAAAAGGAGGACAGTGGTATGAGATTTTAGTTGAACTTCCTATTAATAGATGGAGCAATTAAAGCATAGTTCAGTTTTAGATATTCTTTAGTTTTCAGTTAAACAACATTTCATACACAAATAAAATAATAGAGGGCAAAATTTTCGACACATTTTTCCATTTTCTGTTAATATCTGCAAGGGTAGCAACATTCCATTATGGATTTTAATTATTAATAATAATAACAAGAGAATCAAAGTGAAAGAATTGCATAAAAGGTTTCGTTGTCCTTTAATTACCGAAAAGAACTCTCGACACCTAATGAATAACGAAGGATTAGAAGTTGTAATTTAATAATTAACTTTGTACAAGTTCCATTCTAGGACAGTCAAGAATTGCAGATAATATTTTTGATGTGATTCATGCCCTCTCCAATGGTCCTAATTTTGAAATAATATGTTTGGATTAAATCACTTCCGTTCCCAATAAATTCGTGGTTATCTGTTCCATTTTTGGTTTATCTACTTATTGAATTTGAACAAAATGGATAAGTATATAAACATTATTCTGGAAATCATAAAATGATATTTGGAGCAATCCAACAGAGATGAAAGACGGAATTATGTAGTCGGCATTTTTACGATGTTTATATGACAATAAAACTGATTTTTTCTGAAGATGAAATTATAAAAAATTAGTAAAATTCATTAAAAATGTATTATTGAATAATTAGTACCTAATAAAATAATTCGCAGACAATAACAATTCCACACACTCAATATTTATCTAAAAAATTATAAAGAAGAGGTAATTTATGTTAAATTGAACCGAAAGTTAAATATTAAAAACATTGCATTTGTGGTATAGTTACCGAACATTCAAATGTAATAAACATTATATTGCCAATATTTCGAGATCTGCACTTATTAAATCTTGAAAATGTCAGGATTATATTAATAAAAGAACTTAAGAAATCCAAAGTTTATGAAAATGCATGACATCAATCATCAGGTCTTTCACCATTTTAACCACCAAATTTTGATAGTAAAGCGCGGAGCTAAAACTTTTTTTATGCCCAAAAAGGCAACTTCATAAAAATAAAATTTCCGAACAATGCGAAATAAAAAATTTATTTCATGGTTGCCGATCCTAGGATCTCGAAAAAAGGTGCATATATAGGGTGTCCTACGGTGACGAGACATTAGACATATTTCAAAGACTACTTCGACTTCAATTTTGAAAATTTGGGCAATAGTATTTTCGAGCATGCCCTTCTCAACTAAAATAATGGCGTCCACCTAACGCTTCCGGTTATACTGGAAGTTGACGTCATCTTCTTTATTTTAAATGGAACACCCTGTATATCATTGCAATTTTAGATACTACGTCAATTTTTAGGTGAACTTTCATAAAGGTTTCCTATTCTTAAAGTTAACCGTTTTTGATAAATTTAATTTTTTTTCAATAAAAATTAAAACACTGCCCAAATTCAAAAAGATGTGTACATATTTTACAATAATAAATTTAGAGAGATAAAATTTATAGGGGACATAACTAAAACTCTAAACTTGCCGGCCATAATTTCAAAATGAATTAATTTCATACAGGGTGGTAGAAATTTAATGACGAATTTAATCAACTTTAAACCATCTTAACGTCTTTTTTTTTATGGAACACCCTGTATAATTTTGCGCAACTTGATGAATAATTTTGTTCTCTTTCGAATGGTATGATGGTTCCCTATACCTATCTCTCCTGGTTTTTAAGATATTTGCAGATTTTCGTGCAGTCAACGGATATCGCATAATTTCTTGCGAGGATGGCTGTGAAATTTTTAGTGGAACTTCAAAACAAGCACCAGTTTATTGTTGTAAATTTAACACATAAAGTGAATGTTTATTTAAGTATTATTTATTGTTAAAGAATGGAAAACATTTATTCAAATGCTGACATTCTAAATTTATTATTTATTCCTGGAGAACAAGACAAGATAATAAATAGGACTTGCAGGGTGTTTAATGAGATTTATCCTCATTTACCACCAATGAGTGAGAATGAGATTACGAATAATTTTAAGAAATCAATTAGAAAATGGTCGAATTTCTGCAGTGAATATTTGTTCCTAATCAACTGATAGATGTAAACGGACGTTTTTTCTAACTTTCTAAAAAATTTAATTTTTCATAAGTTATCACATCATAAAGTTGGAAAAATAGAACATTAATCTCAAATTAAAATTTAAAAACTTAGTTCCAATTACGAAGAAAATTTAATTGACAAATTCAAAAAAAAATGCTGCTTTCATCTATCAGTTCATTATATTATAAAAAAATATGTACACAACTATGTGCAACCGTCTTCGAGATGTTAGGATCGGTAACACCTATTTAAATTTTTTATTTCGTAAATTCTGTTCGAAATTTAGTTATCATTTTCAAAAACTGACCATTTTAAAAATAAGGAAACTAACTAAACTGTGCCATTGGATGGGATAATGTACTTCTGATTTATTCTCTCAATTCTAATAAATGTTCGTTGATTCGTAACAGTGAGGTTAGTAATTATAAAGTAAGTATTGAATTCTATAGAAAATAGAAAAATAAACTCATATTTCACGTCATTTTGATATTCAGTTTTAAAAACAAAAACTGGAAGGGTTTTCAAAATTTTAACTTTACGTGTCAGATATTGATAGATAGGCATAGCTAAATTTATAAAATAAACCTTTTGGGGGATCATTCTGGCACAAGGGGTTGTTTTAAATGTTTTTTCTTTACAGTATGAAATATCCATAAATATCCAAATGGGACAAAGAAAACTATATCTCTAAGTTTATAACTCTACGCACTTTCTGTGTTACCAAGTACTTAATCAGTTTTCATTTAAAAACAGCTGTGATAAAAAGCATTACGTTTTTAGATAAACTAAATAAACATTAAACTTCAACCAACGATTTATGTAGAATCATGGTTTCTATTCAACGTGATGACACTGATGAATTTTCAAGACAAATTTCCATCACCCCTGCTGATATAAACTCTGACTAAAAACTATAAACTCTGATATAAGCTGACTTAAATAATTCTCGATATGGAAATAATGGAAGCCAGAATTTTTAGGTTAGTTTTCCGAGTAAATTCCACAGCAACACCAACTACGAACGGCTGTGTATGACTTTTATGACTGTTTCATACAACACATCACACATGGAGTGGAATCTTCTTGAATGACTCTTGGATTGAAGTAAATAAAAAGAAGTAACATGCGGCAACCGTATAAAGTTGTCTAATTATATAACTTCAGAATATGCGGCTCGGATAGGTACAGTTACCTTGCGTTAGACTGTACATACATACCCCTCCCATTGGCCCGCTCAGGTAAACCAGTATACGCGGCCCCATCGCACGTACACGGGAAATTGAGGCTACCAGATACCTGTCCAGCAAAATTACTCGAAAACTTATAAACTAAGACAGTTACTTGTCAAATGTGAAGAAGGCTGTGAACGTTATCATACAATTGACGAGATTCTCGATTGTTCACGTCGCGAATTACGGATACCTGTTGATTTAGAACGAAATTTACAGAAAAGTGCAACGCCGCCTCGATATTTGTGTTTGGTGACAGTGAATGGTTTTCTGTGTTTTGTAGCCACATTCTGTGACGATTTTGTGTTGATATTAAAAGAAACGTTAAGGTACTCCTCGATATTCCCGTTTTTTTTTACTTCGCGCCCGATAAGACATTAGATTTACGCAAAAATACTCCAGCTTTATATATCCCATAGTCATACTTGTTGTTGTGATATTTATTGTTAATCCGTGTGTCCTCGAACTGAAAAAACTTAGGTTAAGTTAAGCAAATACTGTGATTTTAAAATATAAAGGCATATATACCGGCAATATTTATTTCTAAGCACTGTAAGAACTCAGAAACTCCATAAAACGTATTTATATTTACCGTTCTGAACCAACGGATTTCACCTATTCGTGTTCAACAGGTGTCACGTGGCAAAATGTCGGATTGTTTATAATTTAATCGTAAATATGTGGTTCTAGTTCGCGTTCTCGGCAATATCCTTCGCAAATGAGCATTAAGGGCTTGAACATGATAGGGCCCCACCATATATGTATCCTGTATGTGGCCACAGCGGGTCTCCAAGGGCCCCTTATGGGATCCGACGAGCAGGAGATCGTACTTCTCATTTACGTGATCGTGGATGTGATTCAAAACAAGGTAAGAATAGCAATGGTCCTAGATATATTCACTATTTACGTACACAATGTGCGTGCGCTCAGAATTTTGTACCTGTCGACGAAATCAAAATTCAGCAAAAGATGTAACGTGTGAACACTGACCATTAAAATATCTGGTTTTCAGGATCTACATATTGTAAATGAATGAGAAAAAAAAGTACATCACCGCGTGTGTGTCTAATCAGCATTAAAAATATATAGGGCCACTTAATGGAAAAAAACACATTACTTATCAGTTATCTATTGTTATATTGGATGTGTGTATTAAGAATTTTTTATTTAAAAGTAGTTCAAAAACAGTTTATATCCGCAATATTGGAGACGGAAAAAGTTATACTACTTTTTCATACTCGTACTTTTATATTTCTAATTTAAAATAAATTATCTTTATTAGGTACAAATATGTTTCCTTAATTAAATAGTAATTGTTCTCGTATAATTGTATTTTCGACTAAAACATATTCTTTTCGGTAAACAAACAATTTAAAAAGTAAGAATTTGGGATAGGCACCTGTCTAAAATTAATAACTACCTATTTGAGGAAATATGAAGTGAACAAAAAATAAAACAACAGATTTTTTTATACAAATTCTAACGTTATCTTATTTTTGGAGAATTTTTACATTATTCAATTAGTTTACTACATTATCCAGTGGCAACTGGTGAAAAATTAATTGGTCATATCTTGATAATAAAACTTGGGACCTATCCCGTTTTTTAGATGATTTTAGGTCTACATAAAGTACTTCCAAGACGAAAATATTTCGAAAAAAGTCCTAAATTGAAAGTGGAAGTCTCATCTCGAAAAGAGTTGCGTATGTGTATATTTGCAAAATATTTTTTCTGTAATGAACTAATAGATATCTCCTTTTTAATATTTATCAAAATTTTTATATCTCATGAAGCTGCATCATTAGGTACTATGCTTGGATATTGAGGACCTATTTTATAGCAAATTTAATTTCCTATAAAAATGTCATTTACGTATTTGCTGTAACTCTAATCATTTATGAGAAAAATTTTAAAATCGATAAAAATTAACTTTAAGATTTTTTGGCAGTGAAATCGTTCAAGTCACACAGATCCTACTTAGGCACTTTCAAAGAACAAATATTCCTCTATAATTATCGCATGTGGACAATAAAATGACGTTAAATGCAGCTGAGATATGGATAATTAAACAAAAACTGTAGGTTTACGTATTAAATGAAAAGGAAAATTTTAAAATCAAATAGCGAGTACTTAAAATTAAAATTAAAAGCTGAAATTTGATGAGATTTTTTTTCCTGTATTTAAAACGATATTTCGTCAATGGAATGAAAAAAAAATACATTTTTTTTAATAGAAATTCATGAGCTAAGAAAATATTTAAATAGTTCAGTTTTAGTACCTAGTACCTTATCAAATTTATAGACCAAATTAAAAATGTATATTCAAATAATACTAGAGTAAGTACTAGCCCAAGAAATGGTTTACTTAAAATATTCCGTTTTCCCAAAGCATTTACTAAAGAACTGTTTTAAAATACTTAAATTCTGAATTTTATGAAAAAAAGTGCTCACATTTTTAATCTAAAGAGGAAAAATCACTCAATACATTTAGTAAACAGTGGGTTGGTAATTATGAAACAAATTTGTACAAGTTACTTGTGAGTTATTTACAAACATAACTTATTAATAAAAGCATTACAATAAAGATGTCATACTTCCACTGAACCCAGTACAAAAATCATGATGTGAAAATTATTTACAATGAAGAATAAAAAATCTTTGTAATTATAGGTATTCCAATCTCCACCTATGGAATTCGCCTTCCAATCCCCACCTATCTTTGTTATGGAAAATCAAATTAAACAACCTGCAAGCGATAATAGATACTAGCGAAGGTAAAGATTTTAAAATATTGTCTCTGGCCGAGCTTTCAATGCTAGATAGGAAAAGGTCTCTAAACTGTCAATGATGCAAAGAGTTCTACTAGTAAAGTTGCAGAAAACATAAAATATGTCTTAAACACTTAAATTTTTGCAATATGAAAAAAGTAACCTAACTACAGCATTATAGTTATCTAAAATGAAAAATATATAGGTGTCTTATCTACAATTTAAATAAATTTAATTTGTATTAATTAAACATACACAATTTTCAGATTTAACACAATCACTTGCGGCTGGTGAAAATTGAAGTGGTCTTACTTTGATTGGAACAGAATTTCCGAAATAGAAAATTAAAATAAAGGTTGTTAACCCTGAAATATTTGGAGAGTTGTGCATGATAAGTATATAGTTTTTCGTGTTTAATAAAATTCAGTTTTCTTTGTACTTATACCTATTTAAATTTTAATTTGACACTAACATTCTATTTTTCAAACTTCATAATGCTGCAAAAAATGAAAATTCTGAGAAAAATAGAAAACACTTGCATAGGTAGGTACATCAGTTGAATCTGAAAATAAACATTTTTCGACGATATATGCAAGCATTTCCGAGATCCCAGAGTTGGCCGTCTTCAGTTTAAAATTTTTATTTCGCAAACCTTCGAAAATGTTTTCTTCCTGTAAATTCCTTGTGGCCCTAGAAATCATCCCCTAAGTAATAATACTAATCCCACACTTTATTATCAAAACATGACCACTTTAATTTTCACTAGGCGCTACTGATAACAAATGAATGACGAACAATCGATAGTTTAGAAGCAATTGTTGTGTAGGTACATTCTACATTAACGTAAAGTATACAGGGTATAAGCAGTTTGACTGCCATTACTTCAGCATGAGATAGAGTAATCATATATGAACAAAACATTGTATATTTCAGGGCCGTAAAATTAACAGTTTTCAAAATACAGCGAGTATTAATATTGGATAGTTTCATCACAACGTGATAACAGCGCTTAACCTGCACGCGACACGCGGCAGACTTTTCCTACGGAAAAAATGTAAAAGACTATTATTGTGAAACGTTTAGTAAATTTCAAGACAATCATTTTCCAATTTTTAAATAAATAATATAAAATGTATTGATTTTGTAGTACGAAGATAGTGTTGTGCTTAAATTTTAACTCGAATTTTAGTAATTATAAATCTCTTAAAACAGAAACTTAATCTAATTTTAATCTAATTATGAATTTGAAAAATAGGTAATTAAAGTACCCAAAGATTCACATCGTCACTCGCTGGAGAACACCTGAAGAAAGTAGTGGTACGCAATAAACACTCAGACACGGTCCAATTCCAGATACCTACTGAATTGCGTATTGCTTGACAGTTTAGTACCTCGTTACGCCGCGCCGTTGTCACATTGCTCGATATGAATTTTATCGAATTTTAAATTTATTACAACGCTAATTATTTTTTAGAATTAAGCATAAAGAAGTTCAGAAAAGTGATAAACATTGTATTTTCTGCTATTCTATGCACGCAGTTATGTCAATATTTTTTAATTAATCGAATTTTTGTACATCAAGTTGGAGATTTTAATAATTTTTTTCTCGGGTTGGTCGAGTTTAGGACCCATGTCATATAAGGTTTTTTTTGTTTATTTTAATGTATTCTATCGTCTGTTAAAATTAAGGCAGTAAACTTCTAACACCTTGTAGAAATATATGCAAATAAGAGTATAAATTGATACTGACGTACCTAAAACCCCGAGTAAAGAAAAAAAAAATAAACTTAAAGGACTAATTCTACAAGGTAGGTATTATAAAAATAATATTTAGAGTCGTTCTCGCTTATATAATTAATGTATTGCACTGCACATTTCGGGAAAAAATCCTTGAAAAATTTTCATGTAAAAACAACATTCAAAAAAGCAAGAAATAACAGAAGCTAATATTACGTATTTTTACTAGTACCTATTCCACGAAAAGCAACAGTATTACATTTATGTTTCAGGTTCCTAACGTTTTCAAATTAAGTGGCGAAATCAATTAAAAAAACATAGTCGGCCATGCTTGTCCCTAATCCACTGGGGACTGGATTTGCTATATGCCGGCGGCCAAAATTTGGCCTCGAAATGCTTGCACCCGGACTGTTACACACCTTCATCAACATGGTTTCTGCTGCAAACGTGATTTTAAATAAATTTTATTTAAGTATTAACGGTGGGCAGGTCATATTTTTGCTCAAGTTTTCATAGATAACTGTAAAGCATTTGTCCCCTACGACATCATCCCTCTTCATAAATTGATGGAAACTTAAACTTCAATTCTACATTCTACAAACATTTATATTATTTTCTCTCAGTAAAATGTAATCACTTACAACTAGACTCCAGTTTCGGATTACTTGAAAATCAAGTCAAGTAATATTTAGTGGTCGAATTTCAAGTTAAACCAAGTAGTCGTATTTCAAGTACTTAAAATTTCAAGTAATTCCCCAAAACTACTGATTTTTTTTATGATATAACGAAATAACAGCATAGCTCATAAAAATGTTTATATAAATTATATTATAAAAATGATAAATACAAACCATTTATTGTGAATTGTAAATTATTATTAATGTGAACCGCAGAACTGATGAAGATGCATGACTTCTTCTTTTCTCGCTGGTGATCAAAGCATAGCACTCCTGAGTCTTCTAGTCGAAATATTATTAACAGAATAGCTCTGGGAAACTGTCTTTCAAAAGAGCAGAAAATAGTGTCAACCAAAAATCATTGGCAATTGCAAAGTAAATAATTTTATTTGGATTTACTTAAAAAGAGCTAATTCGGAAATTAAAATTTTCCGTGACGACTGAAAACTTATTTATTTATTTGGAGCATTTTTTAGTTAAGTCCATCAAATTTATTTATGATTAATGACGTCACTTCTGATTTAGTGCACTCATTCATCGAACTTTTGCCCGTAGACCCTAAACACAATACAAGGTGATTCATTAACAATGGGAAAGTCGAAAGCTGAAGATACTACACATGAAATGGTGACCATTGGCGCAAACATGCCTTATCCGAAAGTTAATAGGTTCGGAAATACAGGGTGT